AAATGACCTAAAGGAAACATTCACAACCCATAAAAAAAATAACATGATGTTAAATCCATTAAAGTACACCTTCGAAGTGTCAACGGGCAAATTTCTCGGTTATAGCATAACACACGAAGGCATAAAGGCCAATCCAAAGAAAGTAAATGTATTGTTGAATGTGTCTTCTCCTTGGAACACGAAAGAAGTGCAGAAGCTGATCGACCAAATTACTGGCATGAGCTGGTTCATTTCCAAGTCAGGCGACAAGTGTGCACCGTTCTTCAAAATGCTAAGGAAAACAAAAAACTTTGAATGGTATGATGAATGCGATCGAGCTTTTATGAAGCTAAAAGATTCCTTAGAATCACTGCCACTACACAAAGTCCAAAACCATATGAAGAACTCTCTTTATAATTGGGAGTTGGACCTGAAGCATCCGCTCAATGCTAGTTTGAGAAGAGCTGAGGAAAAAATTCAGTCTACTACACCAGTTGAGTCTTAAAAGGTTCTGAGAGCAGGAACCCAATTATAGAAAAAACTAACTTTTGCTCAAATTGTTTCCGCTGGAAGGCTCCGACCTACCTCAAAATGAATTTGATATGATTCATCACCGACCACCCACTAAAATCCATTCACTCAGTTGGACCATTCCAGTCAGTTTCTTAAATGGGCGATGGAGCTAAGTGAATTTAACCTCCTACGTCCCATAAACCGCAATCAAGGCGCAAGCATCAGCGAAATTTTTTGTGGTTTTTCTGAGTCATGCAAGTCGAACGAAGGATCCACTATCAATTGTCAGACCTGGGTCTTACACTTTGATGGAGTCTTCAGTCAGATGGGAGTATGGCTCAGAGACTTGTTTTGAGTTGTATAATCAAAGAGCATCTCTACCACTCAGTTGCAATAAAATTTGAATTCATGAAAAACTAGGCGGAGTATGAGGCCCTAATTGTCAGCCTATGTCTAGCTTATTAGATGAGTGTCTGACATCTTCATGTGAAGTCAGATTCACAGCTGATGATGAATCAAGTAAATGGAAAATTTGAATACAGAGATGAGATGATAGAAAAATATCTAAGTAGAGCTAAAATAAAAATCTTGATGTTTGCCAACTTCAAAATTGATCACATTTCCAGGAAGAATAATTCAGTGGTTGATCTCCTATCTAAGAACATCAACTTGGTGGAGGGAATGCCTCAAAGACTATCCTTACAGATTATTGAAGAAACCGAAGCAATTGATGTGAAAAGCAAAGGAGTTAAAAGTTGAATGAATCTCTACGTCCACTACTTGGAAACCGGAACGATTGTTCAAAAAGTCACCAACACTAGAAGATTCAAATGCAAAGCGGCTCAATACCTGCTAATAGAGGGCAAACTTTTTTGAAAGTATGTCAATTCTCTTTATTTGAGGTGCATAGTGGAGAACAAGACAAAAGACGTCCTCCAAAAAATATACCCTGGAGAGTGTGACAGTCACTATGGAGGGAAAATCCTGGCACACAGAGTCCAATAACAAGGTTACTTATAGTGAACACTCCTAAGAAATGTAGATAATTTTTCAAAAGGTGTGATTAATGCAACAAGTGTGTATCATTACAACACCAGCCAGACCAAAACTATAGCTGATCGTCAGCTCATGGCATTTCACTGTCTGGGGCTCAACATCCTTGGGTTGTTTCCACCTTCAAAGGGTCAACTCAAGTTCCTCCTAATCAATGTTTATTACTTTTTAAAATCGAGGTGACGACACTCACCTAAGTTAAAGTGAAAGTCATCTGGAACATCATATGGTCGAACCTCAGCTATTAGTATGGATTGTCGTTGGTCATCATTACTGACAGAGGGACGTAGTTTATTGACCAAGAAATTAAAAATTTATATCAAAGTTAGGGGATTAACGCGAATTTTGCAGTTGTACAATATTCCTGAACTAATAGACAAGTAGAGGTTGCAAACTAGATCATTCTTAATCTACTAGGGAAAAAATTCAAAGGAATAAAGAAGAATTGGGTTGATATCCTTCCATTGGTCCTACGGGTGGTCTGAACGACTTCTTCAACAAAGATTGGGCAAACTCCCTTTATGTGATTGCATGGGATGGAAGCCATGCTGACGGTCTAGTACAACCACCACAGTCAGAGGGTTGTGTCAGCCTCAATGTTCGATGAAAAAGCTCTGACCGACTGACAGAAGGCGAACAATGAAGGGGCGATGCTTACGCTCAATTTAGAATTAGAGAATTGGACCAACTCAGCCTTTTGATAAAAAAAAAAGTTAAGATGAGAACGGCTCATTACTACAACAAGCATGTTTGTGAGAATTCTTTTGTTGTTGGTGATCTAGTACTAAAGAAGGCTGGTCCAACTTGTGGATAGTCAATCGACAAGCTGGACCAGATATGGACTGACCCGTTCAATATCAACCAAAGGTCACCCCTGGAGCCTACAAGCTCAAAACCTACACTGAGAAGGGAGTCCCTCGAACATGGAGCGAAGTTAATCTCAAAAATAAATTTCCTCAAACAAAACAACTTGTAGCAAAGCCCAAAAATTAATAAATGAGTTTTATTTTTCCAATTTGTAAACTTTTACACTAAAGAAATATTAAAAACGATTCGGTTGACTATGTACATAATCTCATGTTCAAAAAACATTCGAGAAACTCAAGGAGTTCATGCACTTCAATGTCTAGCCAACACTTGGGGAACTTGAACCCGAGCAATTCTTGGGAGTTTGTAAATCATTGTGTGTATGATTTTCTCATTTATTTTGAACATTGAAAATGGATGACAAGGCTTTATCCTTTAAAAATCGCCAACTTTTATATCTTGTTTCAAAATTTAGAATATTGAAGTACTTAAAACGTGTTTAAATGAAAAGTTCAATCCAGGGTGGTGACAAAACATATTTTAAACTATTGAAATCATTGCCAAGTAGAAACTACTTTGATGCTTATAATTATAATCGTTATAGCCACAACATAAGGGCTCAAATATGTAAATTTTATGTTGAATAGTGTCATGGTGTGCCATTGAAATTGCTTCGAGAAAGGGCCAAGTTAATGAAGGAGGCCTTCAAGAATGTCGCAATCATTTTCCAACTTTTAGAAGAATTTAGAGTCGACCATCACTTGTTCCCTTCAATATATAATGTAGGAGAAGAATCAACAATTCACCTATAGAATGTAAAGGGAGACAACGATTGCAGAGATGCTCGCGAAGCTTGGATTAGAAAATGAGAAGTCATCTTAATTGCCCTTCAATGCCAAAGCCAACTAGGAATTTGAATGTCTGGGTATAAGAGTGAATGGTACAATAAAATGCATATGTTTTTCGACTTGAATAAAAGACAATGAAAAGTGGAATACTTGACATAATTAGAAGATGCGTCAGCTACAGTTTTTTTATCATTGTTCTTGAATCTCGACGCATTTTGAACAAGAAATATTCCAAATTCAAATTCAAGATTATCTCCGCTCCAAGTTTATTATAATCAAGTTGAATGTCTTGATAAGAAGAACTTAATGATGATGAATGTGATCCACTCTCAGTCCAAATAAGCCCATATCAAACATTTGAATTATAGACAAAGGCTTTAGTGTATCAATTGGAAGGTTAAACGTTCTCAAAATTTGACATTTTTATAGTCAAATCAAGCAGCGCGACAAGAAGAATCCAACAGACCTAAGATCATTCAATTCCTAAATCATTCATGCAGTTAATTGTTGAAAAAATTACTCCATATCAAGGGAACCAATATGAACCATCCAATAGAGTGTTTTGGGAGACTAGTCAAATTTACCAAGATGTCTCTCTCAGACACCATAAATAGGCCTCTATGTTCTTACTTCGGGAGAAGAAGACAAAAGTATGAGTTGACTACAAAGGCTTAACTCTTAAATTCATGGTGGTTGTTTGTTGGGCATCAAAGTTCATCGCCGACCACCAGAGTTTGTCGTCAACCACTAAAGATCACTGTCATCCACCACCACTAATTGCTTTGGCCAACTATAAATGTCATAACCACCAACTACAATTCTTGTGAGTTATTTATGATATCATAGCCAAAATATTATAATTATTAAACATTAATTGTCAATTTTTATAATATCATCCCTAATTCTAATGAAGAGTGCACATCTATACTTTCAATTTTCTAATGGAATACTTTGGCAGGACTGAACCCTATGATTTTTCACTTTTCCCCTCAATTTTTCTTTTATTTGTGTGTATTGGATCTTCATACAATGCTAAAGCGATAAATTATCGCTCTATCATCGTGAATTTTTCTGCACCCAACAAGAATTAATAATAAAAGTTTTAAGATATGAATATTCTTGATCCCAATGTTATACTTGAGAAACAAATAAATTCACACACACTAGTGTGCCATTTATTAAAGTTTGAGGCAAGGAAATACACTAGGATGGCTTCGGAAATTAAAATGAATTGTAGAAGATTTACAAACATGCCACATAATTCCTAGGTATAAATGTAACATTAAGTTTTGGAGTTTGATATATAAACACATAGGAATTATGTGGCATGTATGTAAATCTTCCTTACAATTTTTTGTGCTAGAGAATGAAATTACTTATTTTCTTTCTTTGGTTAGTACTTCACTAGCATTGCTGAAGTCTATTAAGTGAATTTTTATATGCACTACCCAAGATAAAAAATTTGGCTGGATTGGATTTGCTTCACCGCAATATTTCCAGTAGAACAAATGAGGACATAGAGCACCATTGAATTAGATTTGAAACAAATGCTTCTTTTAGCAGATCACCAAAATTCACATAACACTAATCTCAAAGCAAACTCATGCGTTTTGTTTAAGACATACCCAAATAATTCTATTCATGATATGTTAGATTTGGGCAAAGAGTCATTTATTCACCTCTTCGGTCCAATTCGAGCATACTAACTTATACTGATCCCATTAATATTTGTCACAATTACAGAAGTAAAGCTAAAAGGAAAGGTTGAGACAAAAGGAACTTCTAACATTTCACAACATGTGATAGAAAATTTCGATGTAATCAGGCAATATTGTGAACATTTGTCTGTGTCTGATTAAGCATCTCAATAAATAAAAGCAAAGTTTTATGGAAATATATTCTAAAAATTCATTGCCTTGCCTTTTTAACGCATTAAGATTTGGAAAAGCAATCAATTTCTGGAAAGCTGCTGAGTATGAACATAAGAACACACTGATACTTGTAAAATGAGGAGGAGAAGAGCTCAAAGATTATAAAAACAAGTTATTTGACTAACTCTCTCAAGACAATTTCTGCCTTTTGCTCCATTTTGGGGAGGGCCCATTCATGTTGAATAATGTCAATGCCGTCTTTCTCCGCACCCAAATTCTGAAAGAAACGCAAATTTTATTCATTTTTTGTAAGTTTATGATGTAAGATTTTGAAAGCATTAGAAGTAAAGATTTTCATGCATAGGTAAGGTGGCATACATGTAAAAATTAAAGATTTGATGTTAGAAATGTAAATACATAGGAATTGAGTGGTATGTAAATCTTCCTTAAATATATAAGATTGGGGCATGTAAAGATTTCAGTAGAGAGCTGGATCGTATAGTTTTATTTTCATTATATAAATGCTAGAATAAATCCAAAAATTTTTTAAAGTTAACATTACCTTTGTGGGGTCAACACCAAATCCACCACCCATCTGCATCATTCGTTGTGTATCATCCATAGCTATGGAGATCAAGCAAGTATTAATCCTTCTATGTAAATGATTAGAAATTACATGTTCGAGAATGGGGAAATTTACATACGTAGCGCACCATTCTCATGGAATTATATATCTCTCACCTAAACATTAATATTTACATGCATAGCACTTTGGTACTTTAAACCTATGCATGAAAAGATGGATTTCACCTTTAAAAAGTGCTAATAGTGCTATTTTTGATGTGAAATCAAAGATTTGAGTGCTATGTGTGTAAATATGAATGTTTAGGTATGAGATATGTAGATACATAAGAATTCTGTGGAATGCAAGTAAACGCCCCTTGAAAATAAATAGAAAAGTACAAGATGCAAACCATTTTCTTCTCCCAGAATTAGGCTGAACAGACCCCTCAATCCAAACAAATTCAAGAAATACCTAGCAAATTTTGAGTAAAGTTAGAATTTTTTTATAAAATGAGTGACAGATAAAATTGAAATTTTCCAAACAAAATCAGGAAAAACCTAGCAAATTTAAAGTACAATTAGGCATCATTTTAGTTAAATAAGTTAGACTAGAGACGGTTGAAACTTTCTAGCATGAGCAACATACCATGAGCGACCGCTAACATAGCTCACATCTACGGTGCTTAGGTCGATCCCATTTTGCAGCATTGATCTGAATCTTGGGGTCAGGGGGAAAGGTAATTTTGCTAATGACAAAAAATACTTAGAACTTGTCAATTTCATTAAATAGCAGATAGCAGGAAACAAGTATTATAACTAGATTTAATTAAGATTAAATGCTGATGTTTTAGAAAAATGACGATTTAATCAGTAAAATACATGACAAAATTGAATTCAATCACATCGTAATCAGTTAACGTTACAAAATGTTTCCAAAGAAAGCAAATATATATATATATATATATTAAACATTTACTTGAATAAAATGGTTTGCACTGTCATTATTCAGAAGCCGCAATGACACTTTCATTAAACTCCAAACATTTCCAAGTTCTATTAGACTGAATCCGAAGTCTTCTTCACGCACGTTCAGAGAAAATTTCAGTCTGAACTCTCATTTCTGACTAATATATATTCTAGCGTTCAAGTTCCAACATTACCTGGCACAATTTACTGAAGCTTTATAGCAAGAATATAGATATTTCTTAAAAAAATACTTTTGAATAAAAAAAGATATATATATTGATATTTTCAAAAATGTGTGACGTCTGCTTAGCTTCGTTGAGACGTGTTTAAAAGCGCTAAAGTTAATTTGCAGCTTTTTTTTTTTTCTTTTTTACATTTTTTTTACTTTTTAATTATTGTAACAAACTATTAGAAATTTTAATTTGCAGGTTTACCCTCAATATTTGTCGTCAAGGTAAGTATTGCACTACATTTTTTTTTATTATATATCAACTTTAAGTCATAATTTATATTTTAAATTGTTAATGAATATATTAATACATAAATAGTTTTGAATGGCGTATTAGTATTTTTTTGTTAATAAAAGCCCCGCTTCGCTTTGCGCTTTGAAAAAAAAAAAAGTCTTGAGCATTGCATTGCGCGCATTTATATATATATATATATATATCTGAC